GTAAGCTAATAAGCTTAACATCGCAAATCAGAAACCGTCCTTTTAAATACGATCAGTTTAATTTGTACAAAAGATATAACGACGGAACTTGTGATTCGTATCAGTTACCATTGGAAATGCATCAAGAAAGTGCAGTGTCGAATGTCACCTAAGTGGGTGAAGAGATGACCCCGTCACCCGACCGTGGGGCAAGTGGCTGTTCACTGGGGCGATACGTCACGCTTGTGAACAGCTTTTGTTGCTGACCCCCATGTGGTTGAGACGTCCAGTTGATCCTTGATTTGTTGCAAGAAATTAAGGCATTAAGTTTTTTGTAACATAATGATCATTGATTTCTTCCAAGAAATGTATTAAGTTGTTTGGGTTGAGACGTTGTATTTGCAGTAGAGTAGAGAAGGGCTGCAGTAATTTTATTGAGTGCTTCCTACTAATATTATAAATGCAAAAGTTTGGATGTCTGGATGTTTGTTACTGGATTTTGATGAAAATTTGCAGTATTATTTTTTATAACCCAGAATAATATACAGGATGACTGGAACTGAACCCGCCATAGCTAATAGGCGTATAGAGGAGGTCATTTGCTAATTATTAAACCTTACTTTCTATGGCTAAAGTTTTATAGTTTAGGAGATATGTCAATTTTTATACTTTTTTCAGATTTTTCCGAAATTTGACCTAAAAACTGCTTCAATTTTTTTTCTCGCGTGATTTCAACAGTTTTTTTTATTTGATATTAATATCGAATATGTCTTTATTTAAATAAAATAAATTCCTGATCCAGATAATGATTGAATAGCTAGTTACGAGCCGCCAAAGTTCAACAAAAGTACAAACTAGATAAAAAATTCTACTTCAAATTCGATTGAAACAAAAATTTATGGTGATAATGGATTTCCATTAATCTTTAAAATATCTCCAGCTTTTCTTCTTTCCAATGATATATCACACGTTGTAATTGGATATTGAAATTTATCAAAAATTCAAAGTTTATGGAAGAAAATGGAGTAATAATACAAAAATTATCCATACAAAGTTGATTTTTATTTTTTTTATTTTTTTTTCTTTATAATGTGATTATTATTTTTAAATTCATTTAAAAAAAACACGAAAATAGTTATGAAAAGGAGTATAGCAGAAAATATTCAATATCTAATTACTACGTGTGATATGTCATTGGAAAGAAGAGAAGGTAGAGATATTTTTAAGATCATTGGCAATCCATTATCACCATTAGTTTTTTCTTAAATCGAAATCGAATTTGAATTTTTTATCGTGGTTTGTACTTTTGTTGAACTTTGGCGGCTCGTAACTAGTTATTGAATCATTATCTAGATCTGAAATTTATTTTATTTGACTAAAGGTTTATTCGATATTAGTATCAAATAAAAAAATCGGTTATAATCATGCGAGAAAAAAAAATTAAGCAGTTTTTAGGTAAAATTTCGGGAAAATCTGAAACAAGTATAAAAATTGTCATATCTCCTAAACTATAAAACTTTAGTCATAGAAAGTAAGGTTCAATAATTAGCAAATGACCTCCTCTATACGCGTATTAGCTATGGTGGGTTCAGTTCCAGTCACCCTGTATAGTAGGCTATAATTTATGACGTGCTGTGACAAACTAAATTTCACGTAGGTGAAGCCGCGGGCAAAAGCTAGCATTGTCATAAGTGAATAATTTGTACATTTTCAAAAGAGGTGATAAACTATTGATATATCAATTAACTAGCTAGCCCGGCAAACATCTGTACTGCCTATGTTCATCAGAAATTATGTAGCAGGATTCAAAACGGTTCAGTAGTTTTGGAACCTATTCAATACAAAGAAACAATCAAATCTTTCCTCTTTTCATGTATTAATGTAGATGAAACGTGTATTGGGCCAAATAAGACTATGTGTTACTAAAACCATAAATTAACTTAACCTACATATTATCATTGCATTTACCTAATAACTTTGAAAATCCATAAAAACTAAAATTTTATTATAATCAAAAGAAGAGCTCAAATTGGAATCCGTAATTTTACTATCATCATCGCTCACGACGTACCTACCAGCTGATTTTCTAATAAATTATTTTCTTAATGATAAAAGCATCAAATTGTGTTTACGATAAGTCGCCGTAATTTATCGAAAGCTTCGGTAATTTGAAAGCTTTTCATCAAGGGTGATGACTTGTAAGTTCAAGTAATCACTTCGGTTGAACACATTACCAAAGGTAAAGATGGGAACTTCATATTATGTAATTCTTAACGCGACGTATTTACACGATGCAAACCTTTTTTTTACAAGTACCTTTGTAGAGCTGTATTGAGTGTTGCGCAGTGAGCGCCACGCAGTGATTCTACAAGCTCTCGCTTTGAGAACGCATTGTAATGATAATCTAATTGATTAATTACATTTTCCGCAATATTTCACTACTTTAAATGAGTTTGGTTTATACTTCGTATAGTTTTCGTTTTATTCCATAAATCTTTTGTAAAAAAGTAGACCTCACAATATTCCAGATAAACAGTAACATCGCCATTATTATTTGGTATTTTAAAATACTATCGTACAACTTGCTGGCCAATAGTGAATTCGGTCACAATGCCCTTTTCAAATCGGCAGTCCATTCATCGAACCTTCTCATACAAATGGCTTACTAGCATTAAATCACTATTGTTATGAACTAGAACAAAAGAAAATTAGCGTAAGCCAAGAAATGCAGTTTTGAAATACGTCGCACGTTTTCAAATGCTATGACTATTATGACTGCGTGACCCTACTAATAAATTGAAATTAAAGTAAAAAATTAATCTTAAAAGGATATTTTTGTCGTTAGCCACCTTCTTTCACATTAGTCTAGCTATACCATAAGTCACTTGCAAACCAGTAATTTCATTATTATTATAATTATTATTGGCTTTTTGGGCCTTCATTTGCGCCAGCTCGACCAGGTTTGATCTATTGTGGCAGCCCTTGTCTTTAATAAAAGTAATATCATTAACGACGGCATTAAAGACGGTGTTTTAGTCTTTTGTAGCATAACAAACCGCAGTATTTCGCTTGCTTAGCCATCATCCGTAAAAAACAACGTACGTTGCTACAATACATTGAATCTCATTCTGAAGCTTAGCTGCTAACTTGTGGAATATAACCCGGACAAATTTGGTAGACCGGGAGCTTTCTAAGCTTTTTGTTTACCGTTTGCGTAGAGCAGAGCCGAACGCATTCAACAGCCTTAATTTTGTTTGGGTAAATATCAATTAAAAACCAATGTATATTTACGAGTATAAACTTGTAATTTGGTGTGATGTCGAAGAATCTATGAACTGGGCAATAACGCGTTTCAATATTTTATGTGCGAAAATAGCCACTTTCTAAATATAAGTTCATACCTATATGTAAATGGTGTATAGTTTCTTAAGCAGTGGTTAATCTATTATTGTTTCACTGTACATATGTTTTCCAAACAAAATAAAATAAAATAAAATAAATATGGATGGAGCGTTGATTTTTTCAAATGAATATAATATTTAAGTACAGTTTTTATTAAATAAACAATTTCTCGATAAATTATAAACTGTCACGATCCATTGGCAACAAAAATAGTTGTGTAGTTTTAGTTCACGTACACCAAATTAAATGCTTTCAAGTGTTGACAGAGACCTAAATACCTACTTTAGTACTGACCTGGTAATGAAATACCTACCCGTATACACAATTTTTGCTGATTTCTCATTACACGGTACTGTTTATATTGTAACATAGAATTTTACCGTTAACTCAGCGTAAGTATATTTTCGTATTAGACTGAGATTGTCAAGTATCAGTATCCACTTGAAAACATGTGTTTTACTTTTTTTTCGTCATTTCGTTATTGGTAAGGTCTCAGAGAGTTGGTTTATTTAAAAATAGATTGTACTTGAAATAATTAACTTTTAAAAAAAATAAAACCGACTTCAAATGCGTGAACACAAAAAAAAACTAAAAATTGGAGATATTGCGTATAAAAAAGTTCATCCCCAATTTTCCACCCTTGGGGATTGTTTTTTCTATTATTAAATTTAAATGGGACCACCCTTGAGGTATTACCTATACGCAGAAAAAAGATTTGTTCAAATCGGTTCATAATTGGCGGAGTTATCGCGTAACAAACATAGAAAAAAAAACATACGGGTCGAATTGAGAACCTCCTCCTTTTTTGAAGTCGGTTGAAAAATACGCTGGGTTCAAATTCTAAGTTCTCTATAACGTATGTAAATGTGTCTATTTCTGAGCAAAATTTTCACATCACCTTTTTCATAAATGTACCTAACTATGACGCATATTTTAAATTCTTATGCACATACATTGCGAATTCGTGATGGTTTAAAAATAAGTCTTTAGCGAAGAAACCTCTGTCAGAGTGACTCGAATTTGCAAATCAAGAATATCAAATATCATAAAATCAATGTCAAGGAACCCCAAAGCAAATTGGTTGGAACTTGATATTATTAGTTTTCCGCCTCCGACGACATTCTATTGTCCTTGCGTGATTTTTTGCCCAATAAATAGTAGAAAGGAACTGATTAAGTCAAATCTAATGTTTTTTAACCCATTCCTTTGTTTTCATTTAAACAAAGCTATTTTTAATTATATTTTCTGTCAAGGAGATTTAGTAATTAACCCCAACCCCATTTTATACAACATTCACTTGTTTTGAACAAGTGAATGTTGTATAAAAAATAATGTATTAGAGCTGTAAAAGTAACTTTATTTAATAAAAAATACAGTAGTCTCTGAAATGTTTAAAACAAAGTCGAATCAAGTGTTGTAATTATACGACATTTATGAATAGTCTGTCAAAATGTAAATCGTTGTAGAAATTACTCTACCGTAAAGAGGAAGAGCTTCCCCAACGAACAACAGATGGTAGGATAAGATATCGCCAAAAGACGGGACAAGTGCGGAAAAGGGAAAAAAGTATTCAAACCGTCTGTCCTTTTCAAATCGGCCGCGTAGCAGATGGGCGAGAGGTGGCGCACGTGAAACCGCCACTCGTGCGCGCGCCGCGGACGCAGCCGCTTCCAATTTTGAATCCGGATCGTTAACGACCATTTTCAAATTTATTCTTTTTAAAACTTAAAAAGTAAAGTGCCAGTGCCACGAACTGTTTGAGGATTTTGTGACTGTGTGCCATTGTGAAACTTTTTGGACAGGTTGGTTTTATTTTTATTTCATGGTGACAGGTATTAGCGCTTAAAAAGTTTTGTTCCCCTGATTTAAAAATTGGATAGGTCATAGGTTGTACCTTATTGTAAACAAAACTTGAAACCTCTATGTTGCATGTTTTTGTGCTTTTACGGAACATAGAGCACAAAAATATTAAAAGCTGAGGCGAATAAGTTATGTAGAGAAAGATTTCAACGAGCGCTAAGCGGTTGATTTAAATGTAGGTACCTACAATAGGTAGGTACTTAATATTTATTATTAAAAACTTAAATAGCCACGTATTGTTGATAAAAAAAGTACAAAAATAACACCATTCACAGTTTGAGAATGAGATTTCAAAGATCTTAAAAAAGTTGGTACGATGGAAAATAAGTGCAAATTACTATTTTTGGAATTAAAAAGGGTTCATTTCAATTTCATACACGTTTCTTGGTAGTTATTAACGCTGATGCTTTATTTGTGCATTGATGGTATTTTATTTTGCTAACTCGATAACCTAAACGTGATACTTTTGTTTTGTTTGCGTATCATATCGTGTTAAGCAGGTGGACATTCATTTATGAATCATTTTACTGTCTTAAACAATGGAAATGTAATATTTGTAGACGAAATATAGTTTTTTTTTATTGAGACACGAATTACTTGAAGAGCTTTAAAGCTGCGGGCGTACAATCGCCGTTTAATTATTTTCAAATCTATCTGTTTCCGTCACTCATAGGTACTGAAGTTCCGATTAGAGTAAAAGAGATGCATAGATATATCCAAAACTTCATGTAGAATTGTAGTGGTTGAATAAAAGTTTATAAGGTAAAACATGACTGAAAATTGTATTGATTTCTTATTTTTATAACTAATGCGATAACTACTCGTATTTAGCGAAATAACATTTTTATTTAACTTATTTGTGTATTAGTTATTATTGTAGGTAATAATTATGAGGAAATAGGTACAACAGCATTATTCCGTGTATAAAATCTTCCATTTACACGTTTCGCGGTCGACTTATCAAGTTTATTGTTGATAAATATGCATTTACGTTGATTATGAAGAACTAATGAGATATTATAGAAAAATGACTATAGGGAAATTCAAATCGCATCAATCATACAATGATGATGATGATGTTTTTTTTTGTTTAAATCGATTCTATGTTTACTACGTGTCGTGAAAAATTGTCGTTAATATAGAAAAATAAAGAAAATTAAACGCATGAAATGCACTGAAACATACATTTTTCGATGGTCCCAAATATTTTTAGGTAAACCTAAGTTCAACATTCAAAATAAGTAGCTGCTGAGTACGTTTACGTATTAACAAACCAATCTTTAGTTTTAATTCTGACGTAGATTACATTCACTCTAGTTAGTTAAAAAACTCACTTTAGTAATTTATGTACGCACTATTTTCATAAAACAGTGATTCTAATATATTATTCTTCTAGAATTTTTGGTGCAACTTATAAAAAGTATAAATAAATCTCCAAACTTAGATCCGGATGTGGTCACTAATTTGATAGACGTAAATATGATCCGGAACAACATCACAAACCAAAAATATTAAAATGAATTAACATTACAATCTTCTAATTAATAAGTTATTTAGGCATTAAATTGGACAACAGGTTTCGTTGCAAGTTAACTGCGATTTAACAATTTAAAACGGTATTTATTGCAACTTTGTTGCTGCTCGATGCTTGAACCTGATTGCGTAGAGAGAGAGAACTGAAGTCATTAAAAATAATAAGGCACCAAGTACGTGAATATTAAGCAAATATTTTTATTCTCACCGTGATAATCTAATTTTAAAGCTGTTTAATTTATTTGTACTCAAATACTTCACATAAGCTTCAAGCTTTGAATACTCGCTGTTTTTTTGGTCTTACACACTACGCAAAAGTTAAAAGTAATCGTTGAACGAATTCAGAAGTTCAATAGTAATTTCTCGTGTAATGGTAGAGCATTTCTTCACTAACGAATTATCTGAATCAATGTTAATTGTTATTGTATATGATATTGATATTTTAATTAAAATAAAAAGAGCAGAATTCTATAATTAGATATTAACAGATAACTAATTATGATAAGAACAGGATATGATGATTTTGAAATTGAGATCGGTTTATGAGTTCGGTCATGCTCGTCTCCCCTCCCCTAGCTTAAGCTCGAGTTACGTCATTATACTAAATGTCCGTTATTGATAAAACTCACTATAGCATCGGACTATGTCGGTTTTTATGTCTATGGTTACTAAAAACGTGTTCACGTGTTTGGTGTTGCATAAATAATGAGCGTATCTTTATTGCGAATAATATTTCCAGCTATTTCTAGCATTTATATGTGAATAGAGCTTTATTTCGTATCCAACTAGCAGATACTTACCTGTATATTTAAAAAATATTGTTAGCAGGTAGAGACTTTTTTACTGCCGAATATAGTACCTATTATGCTAAGTGGGAAAGCTTAGGCTGATGATGAGCAGTGTTACATAAAGAAATCCATACTGGATGTACCATTGTGTACCATTGGTGTACCATTGTCTTCTAACGGATTTTGGAAGTAATCGCTTCCTACACTGCCTGAAAGGTGCCTTGCTACTTTTTGTGTTAATGAAAATTGACAGTTTTGTTTGGTTAGGCGAAAATATTCAACGGCTATCGTTTAAGACTATCACCCATTACTACAATAAATAATATTTCTCAAAGCACAGCCTTCCAGCGTACCTGTTCAAAGTTCATAGAGGCCTTGAGACTCAATTATTGCACTTTCTTTATTTACAAACAAACTCCAGGGTTTCGACAGGACCAAGTGCGACAAGGACAGCCTCTGTCTGTGGCCGAGGAGTGAGAGAGACGAACAATTCGGCGGTGGCACGGTGCAGTATGCGTTTTTGCTGCGCGCACTGCATTCTGCGATTAGGCGCAAGTCATAAGATTCAAGTGTGTATATGCAATATTTATGGACAATGTTGACTTATAGGAGCCATAGTGAAGATTAAAGAGCCTTCTTTTACGAGTAGGAATTCGTTTGCATACCCGAGATATAACAATGGAAATAAAAATGGAATTTTCCAACAATCATGTGACTTGCAATCGGCGAAACACGTGTTTTTCTTTTACCCCGTCACCAAATCATTATTCATCATCATTAAGACCTCTAGAGGTTCGTAGGATATAGGATTTTCCCGCAGGTAGGCAACTGGACTGGGCTGAACTGTTATAACGTCAATGACATTTGAAAATCCTCTGATTTCCCTTCACGTGTAGACTTGATTTGCACATCATCATTAGGTGTAAAATACCATCTATACTAATATTATAAAGCTGAAGAGTTTGTTTGTTTGTTTACTTGAACGCGCTAATCTCCGGAAATACTGGTCCGATTTGAAAAATTCTTTCAGTGTTAGATAGTCCATTTATCGAGCAAGGCTATAGGCTATACAACATCACGCTACGATCAATAGGAGCAGAGCAATAATGAAAAATGTTGCGAAAACGGGTTTTCACGCGTACAAAGTCGCGGGCACAGCTAGTAACTACATAAAATGACATAATTTAGCTTGATAAGCTATCGTTCTTACCCGCAAACCGCTTATGCCTTGTTTCAAGGCGTTAGACAAAAGCGTCGGCTCGCCGGCCTTCGTGCAACCGGTCCCCGCTTACTTTCGTATTGCAACCACGCGCGGCATTTCATTCCACGCTTGCCACCACCACTCAAGTCTTATCCCCACAAACATAAAGTTCAAAATCCAACCAACACACGATCTAATAACCCGTAATCTTTGGCTAACACCTGTAACGATTTTTAGGGACAATTTCGTTATATGAAGCAAGTTCTTGAATAATGCATTCCACTGAAATACACGGTTCTGAAACTAATGAATATTCAGGTCCTATTAGAAAGAGTCGATTGGCTGTGAAATATTTCGCGTTTGGTTGTAAATATTCAAGCGTTTGCGACTTTTGCTCGTTTAAGGGCGAATTTAGTGCTTTTACAAGGTTACTGGAATATAAATTAAGCTCGCGGTTTGATTCTGTTCCTTAAAAATAATACCTATATTGGAACTCCTGCATTTTAGTACAAATACTGATCTAAAAGTTTATGGTTTTTAAAAGTTACCTATACTATCTTTTGCTCTACATGTCAAGTTGGTCCCCATAGACTCTACCACTCCTACGCCCATAGCTGGGCACCGTTAATCAAATAGTTAACTTCGTTAATCGTTAAACCGTTAATAAAAAAAATAACTTCGTTAAACGTTAAAACGTTACATTTCGGTTGAATTAACGCAAGTTAACGTTAATCGTTAATCCGTTAACACGTGATAATAACGAAAAAAATTATTGTATGCAAGGTTCAAATAATTTCGAAATCTTGTATCGCGCATGGAATTAATTCCTCTTTTATGTTTGCGCTACAAGTTTTCGAAATTATTTGAACCTTGCATAAGTACAATTATTTCGCCAACGCTATAAAAATATTTCGTTTTAGTACAACCAGGCCTGTTCATCTCCGCGAGTTTACATCGAAAACAAAACACGCACGATGGCCCACCTACAAGATACTATTCGACAAGGCCTCACATACGAGCGAAGAAAATAAAGAAAATGATGTACTAAATACTGTGCAGTATTTAACTGCCTAAATAATAATAAAAACACAGAATGTACTTTTTTAAGTTGCCTCAAGACACAGAGGTAAATAAGTACTACTTAATATTATTCATGATAATTCATGCTAAATCGTGTATTTCCTCCGCCATTTTCCGCAGTTTGGCACCTCACGTCACATCATTTTACCGAAGTCAGCCCTATATCTTCGGCGCAGTGCCGATCACTGACGTTTGTCAACAAAATGGTGCTTGACTCTTGAGACAGGCTAAATTACACCATATTGTTAATGACATTGAGCATACATTTTTTTTAATACCTTCGTGAAGTAAAACTTCTGTACGTAGTACTTATTATTATTCTGTAGTACAACTGCATTTC